TTCTTCAGTATTCCGCAGTCCGCACATCTAGCATATTTTCACTACTTGACATGTCCAAGATTTTTTTTTCTTTTTTTTTTACTCTTGGGGTCTAGGGAAGGGGCAGGGAGGGCCTGGAGTAATCAGGGCTGAAATTCACTTCATTGAGTTTCAAACCCTTGTATGCCTAGCGGGTTTCGAACTCGAGACCCTCCACTAGGCACGGTAACCTCACAACCAGCTGAGCTGGAATGCTTGGTTTGACTTGTCCAAGATTATACGCCATCCTACGTCCTTAAATATTCGATTCATAAAAAAATCAAAATATTGTATCCTCAGTATGAAAATTATGCATTCATCTCGGCCAGCTTTTTAGAGTCCGTTTGGTAGCACGAAAATCGGCTGATTTGACTGATTCTGCTTAAATTTATGAAGTTCTGGCTGAGGTGGCTGCATTGGCTGATTCTGCTGATTAAGAAAAAAATATTTTTAAAATATATTTTATTAATAAAATAAAGAAAAAAATATATTTAAAAATAGTTAAAAGGGTCATCTACAGTAACTTCAGCCAATACAGCCAGAAATGTCACTCCAACCTTACTTTTTCTGCTTATTACACAATTCAGCGCGTGAAAGCAAAAGTTACGTATTTGGTAAAAAAGTTGGCTGATAAGCCTAATTAATAACCTGAAAAACAATGGTCCAAACGGCTTAATGTAATACTGTAATTGTCTTTCTATTAGCCCGACCGCAAACTTTTATGTGATACGACTATTGGATAGGAACAAAAGTTTTTTGGGAATTTTGGGGATAAAGAAATGTTCGCATTTTTGTAAATACATTTTACTTCAGTAATATCTTTGAAAAAACTCTATTTAGTCACCGAAAATAGACATTATTTATTTTTCTGGTGTTTATTTATGCCATTTATGAATAATGTGTGGATTATAACTGTATGAGCATCAATTTATTTGATTTCTTGAAACATATTGACTTTTCATGGGATTTGTGCAAAAAAATACATATTGAATTTTCATGATATGATAATGGATATATGAATGCGTGAACTTTAAGATTATATTAATGTAGTGAGTTTATTTTCGGGAGACTAGTTCTCAATTATGAATTAATATTGTCAATATTTTTCAAGTGATGGATATGACTTCACCCAACTTTGAATCGGACTTATATTGTTCATCTTCAAATGAAACTCACTCACCAGACAAGTGTTAGTTGAGCTATTGAAATACTCCGTATTACTCTTAACATAAAAAAGAATTCTAATGTTTCCTTGGTTCTTTCTATAGAAATTACTTCATATAGGACTAAAACTACGGCAAAAACTCAAAATAGGACTTCCTATGTTTTTATTCCAAAATAGATTGGTGTCAGTGGAAATATTGGGTTTCCTTTTACAAAATATGGTAAAATCAATATGCTGCTTGCATATGCATTGTCCAACTGATTTTCTTCATGTGTATGTTCAAACTGGAGAACATACCGCAATTGAAAATCAATACGGAGTAAGGTCGTAAGGATGTTTTCTTTTGTACTGTTTTCAGTCCTAGATCAAATCAAACCAGCCCAGATCAGATAAGATCAGACCAAACTTCCGTAGTTATAAAATACACAAAGACCAGACATTTATCAGACCAATTCAGACCAGATTAGACCAGACCAGCAAATTTCAGGCCAAAAGAAAACATCCTAATAGTTTGACAAGAAGCATTCAAGCCATTATTAAAAATGCCAAAATTTAATGACGAAGGGAGTACATTTCTTATTTTAAGTTTTTGGTTTTATACTTTTGTGCCTTCTTCCTAATCTACAATATAAGAAAATTTTGCAATTATAGTCCTGTTACTCTTGTTTGACATGTTATTAATTTCATAACTTTACTTTTCTTGCAAACCTGATCTTGTAACTAATGAATCTATGCAATTTAAGGGTGTTCCCTCCAAAAAGTGCAATTTACAACAGAAAAGTTGACGCTGGCAACTCCTTTTCCTATATTTATTCGCGTGAGAAAGTTCTAAAATTGTTAGATTCGTTAGTTAAAGGATTAAATTTGTGAGTAAAATTACAAGAATATATAATAACGGGAACAATCATAAACTACCACACTAGAATTGCAAATCTCCCACATCATTCTTTAGCACCCATAGATTTCCTTTGTTTCAAAATAAATTCGACGTTGAACTAATGTTGCAAATCCACCACAAAAAAGTTGGTAAAACTCTAAAACCCCAGATCTTTAGTTTGTTCCGATGAAAGTCAATAAATTTGCCGTAATTGGACCATAATTTAAGCTGCTACCACACTTTTTTATAAGTGACCATACTTCTTTTGGGGACCGTTTGTGTATGCTTTTATGAAATACATCTATATACGAAGTATAAGAATCAATTTGATACATCATATGGGGTAGTAAAATATACCCTAAATATGAGTAAAACATACTACCTCCTTCCCCCTAAATTTGGGACAAAGGGGTGTGGTGTAGTTTTTAAGAAAAAATAGAATTGTATGGTTGGTATTGAATTGATAAAGTGTGAATAAAGTAACAATGAATTATAATCATTCAAAAAATACCAAATATGGTATGGAACAAACTTAATTGGACGGACGAAAAAGGTAAAACGGGACAAAGTTAGGGGACGGAGGGAGTATCACACAAAAAAGAGTAAAGCCTAACACATTTCCTTTGAACAGACACATTGTTTTAAAGTACGTACGCACTAACGTATGTTAATTCGTTGTTCGTCCTCACAGTTCCTACATATGTAGCACTTCTAAAAGGATATTTCCTCCATCCCATAAAATTATTCTTGATGTGACTTGTATTGAAATTTAAAAAGTGAGAATAAAGTAAAATATATGATTGTGGTTGAGTAAGAAAAAGATAAATGAATGTTAGCAACACATTACTTTTCAACAAGGAAAATGAGAAAAAAAGTTGGGACAATCCAAGAAGGTAAGTGAGAAGAATTTGATGCGACAAAGTGAACATACGTTTACAAAGAGCTTTAGTAATCCCAAATAAAGAATATGCATTTCTAACATACTATTAAAATGTTTTACAAGAAAAAAAACATATTAATAAAATATAATGGGTGGACTAGTATATCCCCTGAAGATTTTGTTTAAATTAAGCACTTGCCTCATTTTCATTAAATTTTCATAAAAAAGTCTTTGCAAAAAAAGTTACTATTAATATTTTCAAATAGTCAGTTCTATGTCTCACTTCAGGGTTGCTCTAAATTATTGCTGCTTTGTCTATATTTACTTTCGAGGTAAGGGTCAATTTAGTACATAAACTTGTATGAATTGGAGTAAAGAGTACACTATATTGCATTTGATCTTTTTAAGTACACAAACTCGGCTTTTTAGTGTTAATTGAGTACACCCATTTGATTAACATGTTAATATGGATGAGTTTGCTAACAGAATGCTAATAAGTCGACTCCTGAAAATTGACGCCAACCCCAACCCCTTGATCGACGTCAATCCCCCACAGGTCGACTTTCCCTTGGTCGATGCATCCCTGCTGGCCGACGCCCCACGCAGGTCAACTTCAGAAGATAGATTTTTCCTTTTTGGTCAAATTCGTGAAGGTCGGTGTCATAAACTTGATCCAATTCTCAGGATTCTGTTAGTTAACTCGGGCATATTGACATGTTAATCTAACCAATGTACTCAATTAATACTAAATAACCGAGTTTATGTACTTATAAATGTCAAATGCAATATAGTGTACTCTTTACTTCACTTCGTACAAGTTGATGTACTCAATTGACCATTTCCTCGTTTACTTTCATTATCATTAATAAATGTGTCTTTCTTTCAAAAAAAAAACTTCGGAGTTGTTTCGCTTAAATTGAACACTTTGGCTAAAATATTAAAGTAGGGGAAGAGGGTGCTTTACAATAATCTGACTTTTACTTATTCAAAATCATTTTATTTTTCAAATAAACTCACCTTTTATTAATATTAATCACATTTCATATCATCTCTAAATGAATAACTTCTAAAATGTAGAGTCAATTAATGCAACACTCCTAAAGAACATCACTACAATTAAATACTCCGTACATAATTAACTCACTTAATATATTTTTTTGGCATAGTCAATAAAAGCTATTTTTGGATGTTGTAGTCAATAGAAACTGATTTTTTATTAACTCTAACTTTTACAGATGGTGAATTTCTATGCAAATACAGCTGCCGTGAGGAAAGCTTTGGCCTACCATTACAAATGAGCTGACTACAATAGTTTGATGACTACTTGGTATCTGTAAACTCCAAAACATACCACCGAGTTATAAATAAAATGTTAATACTAATAAATATCAATTATATATATATATATATATATTAGTAATAGGACTAAAAAAATATATGAGCCCCACCAAAATGAGAGGCGCAAGATGTAATATTAAAGTTATCGTTGGATTATAAAATTTAAACATCATCATAGTCATTGTAGAGTTACCAACTCTTTTTTGAAAGATGTATACTTACTAGTGGTGTTTAGAACTGATTCTGCTTCTTTTTTAAAGCAGAAGCAAAATCAGAAGCGAAATCAGAATAAGTTTTCAGAAGCTGGTCTCCCCCAGCTTCTAAAAAACTTATTCTAAGAGTAAATTAGAGCATCAGAAGTACTTCTGCACTTTCACTTAAACACTTTAACTTCTGCTTTTGCTCCCTAACTTAGTCAATGTAAATTAAAAATCACATTATTTATCATTATTATAATTGAAGTCATATGCTTGGTATTTGTCTGATTTCAAAATTAAGCAAAGTTTGATCTATCGGTTGCTAGTTATGTCACAGTTGTCATCTCTCTACTTCGTGGAAGTTGCCTGGCTAAGTATTACGTGGTACCTCTAACGTATTACGGAGTATGAAGTATGATTACTTAACGTGTAGTAGGCCCACATGGCTAAGAACCTTTTACTCTTCCTTAAATTATGATTAATAAAGTAGAGTGATCAGCGTTCTTTCACCATTTGACCATTATTCTTTCAGATCCTCCTTTCTTCACAGTACCATTTCTTGCTTTGTTCACCAGGCTCAATTGTGTAACAAGGTGGGGGTAAATAAATGGAGGCTTTGACCCAAGAATTCTTCAGCAGATCGAATGAATTGGTGTACAATCACCACTCTGCACCAGTGGATCCAAGTTTCATGAGTGAACAAAGATTCTCCAATCCTAGTAGTTTCTCGGGCATTAACAATCATGTCGAGAAGGAATTTGATACGGCGGTGGAGGAGGAGGAGGACTACCCAGATGCGACTCTGAAGTATATAAGCCAGATGCTAATGGAGGAAGAAGACTTGGAGAACCAGCCCTTCATGTCCATCGACTCCATGGCTCTCCAAGCCACAGAGAAAAACCTCTCAGATGTTCTTCACGGAAGTGACGGCCTAAGTGATAATTTTTCAAATACTCATCTCAGTAACTCCTTGTCCATTCCATTTGAAGGCCAACACGATTTCGTATCTCCTGCAAGCAGAGGAAGAGAGGAGGAGGAGGAGGAGAACGAGACAGACCATTCGTCTTCAAAGGGAAAACGAAACCACCAGTATTCATCGTCTCCTCCTGATTCTGCTGAAAACGAGAGGAACAACAAGTACTTGGCTGCGGGTTATATGGAAGAATTCGAGACGTTAGATGATACGTACTACGATGCCTTTGTCTGTCCTATGGGAAAAAACATCACCGCCTGTCTCCCCAAGAAGACAGACAATTCTGAACAGAAGGTGGGAAGGAAAAACCGACGTGGCAAGAAGAAACAAGAAACAAAAAAGAAATTTGTGGACCTCAGAGGCTTACTCACCCATTGTGCACAGTCTGTGGCGGTTTATGACAGCAAGACGGCGAATGAGGCTCTTAAAAAGATAAGGCTACACTCTTCTCCTCACGGAAACGAAACAGAAAGGTTGGCGTTTTATCTAGCTAATGCGCTAGAGGCACGCTCAAATGGAGCAGGGCCATCGCTGTACACATCTAACCCTTCTATCTCAGCTGCGGATATCTTGAGAGCTTATCAGACGTATATCAGTGTAATACCTTTTGAAGTAGTGTCAACTATGATGGGAAACAAATGCATCATGAAGCTTGTAGCCGCAGGAGCAACCAGGCTACACATCATTGATTTTGGAATTCTGTATGGCTTTCATTGGGCATGTTTCATTCATGGTCTCTCAGTGATGCCCGGTGGGCCTCCAAGGCTACGTATTACTGGGATAGAATTTCCACATCCTGGTTTCTATCCTGAAGAGCGGGTCAGGGCCACGGGCCTGCGTCTGGAAAAACACTGCAAGAAATTAAATGTCCCGTTTGAGTTCAAAGCCATAGCAAGCAAGTGGGAGAGTATAACACTTGAAGATCTCGAGCTCGACAGGGACGATGATGTGCTTGTTGTCAACTGTTTGGACAGGCTAGCAAACGTCCCAGACGAGATGACGGGGCCAAATAATAGTCCAAGGGACATGGTACTCAATCTGATCAAGAACATAAATCCAGACGTGTTCATCCACGCAGTTGTGAACGGGACCTACAACAACCCATTCTTTGACATGCGATTCCGGGAATCACTATTTCACTTTTACTCACTTTTTGACATAATGGAGGTGACATTGCAGAGTGAAGACAAGGACAGACAACTGTTGGAGGAAATGGTGTTCAAAAGAGAAGTGCTAAATGTGATAGCTTGTGAAGGAACTGAGAGAGTCGAAAGGCCGGAGACGTACAAAAAATGGCATGCTAGAACCCTTAGGGCTGGGTTCCAGCAACTGCCACTCGATCAAGAAGCTGTCAAGTGTCTAAGGGAGAAAGTGAGATCAGAATATGACAAGAATTTTTCTGTGGATGAGGATGAGAACTGGATGTTGCAAGGTTGGAAAGGAAGGATACTTAAAGCTGTCTCATGTTGGAAGCCTGACAACAACTAGTTGAATATTTTGTTTGAATCCAAATTAGCAGGGTCTGCTATTCTTAAAATCAAATTCAGCATTCATTCAAGACAATATTATGAGCATTCAGTGCTGTTTAAATGACTTGTTATAAGTCGTAACATGATTCGCTCATATGTACAATGTCACAATATCCATAATGTATATGAGTCCAGCAAAGATCTTATCTGAAATGAAGGAGAACCAAATTGAGGTGAAGAAAACGAAGCAGGTCAAAGCCTCTAGTAATTATATAGGGTAGTTTGATTAGCTCAACTTATCCTGGTTAAATAAGGTTTATAGCCACTATAATAGTAGATCAGAAGCTATTAGAGCAGAACATAATTCATGAACAATCAAAATAATCTATATTTTTGCATTTAAAAGTTTTAACATTTGAATTTTATACTGGGAAAATGGACATGAATAATCTCAACTATTGGAGATCCGCTTAAAATAATCCAAATTATCAATTATCTCAAAACAATCTCAACTGTTGAAAAAAATATCAAAATACTCCAGTGACTTATAATAACCCGTAAATTGTTTATAATATTTACAAGCCAATGGAGCATTTTGAGAAGTTTTTCAAAAGTTGGAATTATTTTGAGATAATTGATACTTGGGATTATTTTAAGTGGATCACCAATAGTTGGGATTATTCTTGTCCATTTTTCCTATAGTTTTTACATTTTAATTTATTTTAGTTTTTTTCAATTTAACTTTTTTTATATTATACTTCGTATAAAACTTATGTAAGTTTTATAAAATTTAAAAGTCTATAATTTTCTAATTTTTTTCTAAAAAACCCGTCATAGCATGTTAAGATGACTAGACTGATTGTGTTTTAAAAGTAAGCATGCTTATATGATACTACCTCCGTTTCGGCGGCCTAAGGTTCTCATGACAAAATGACACGGTTACTTGAATATTAATGAAGTGTTTGGGAGTGTTGACTAGCCTGTTTGGATTGAGTGTTAAGAAGTGTTAGTAATGGAAGTGTTAGTAAGTGTTGATGCTCACACTTGTTTGGGAGAAAAATCCAGAGGTGTTAAGAAGTGTTACTAATGGTTAGGAAGTCTTAATAATAACCTTCCCAACATCTCAATTGTCCATTTTTTTTAACACCCCGATTTGGAGTGTTTTGAGGTGTTGGACAATTATTACCCTTCTCATTTACCCGAAAAACATAAAATGCTTCCACATTTCACTTTGAATGTCTTTCCCACGGGTCTGATGGTTTGTTTTTTCATCTCTTCTCTTTACTTGTTTCTTTTGCCTCAAGGTAAAATTATTAACACTTACATTATTAACACTTCATTCATTTGACTCTCTCAAACAAGGTAAAATTATGTCTAACACTTACACTTCCCTTCCCTTCCGAGCCCTTACTAACACTTACTAACACTTCCATTACTAACACTTCCAAACACTCCATCCAAACACTTCCTTAAACAATAATTAATAAGGTGATTTGAGTATATTTTGAGAAATATTTTTGATGGGTATATAATATAATGAAGTCATTGATGATAACTGTGATGTTATAGATGTATTATTTTCAATATTTGATGAATAAATTATCATTTAAGAGTGCTAATTATTTCTTAAAATAGAAATAGAACCTTTAGGTGGGACGTTCAAAAAAAGAAAATGAGAACTTAAACTGTAAAGGGGTCATTAGTTTATAGTATAGAGACTCGTTAGATAGATTTGAAATAATTATTTACGTAAACTGTTTTTGGCATCGATATCGTGGATCGGTTCATGTTAGCCGACCTCAAAATCGTTTGGGATTAAGGCTTGGATGTTGTTGTATACTCCCTCCGTCCCCCTAAGTTTGTCCCGTTATACCTTTTTCGTCTGTCCCACTAAGTTTGTCACATACCATATTTTGTAACATTTGAGTGGTTAGAATTCATTCTTACTTTATTTACATTTTATCAATTCAATACCAACCACACAATTCCACTTTTTCTTAAAAACCATACCACACCCCTCCGTCCCAAACTTAGGGGGACGGAGGGAGTAATTATTTACGTAAATTTTTTTTTATCAATGTAACCATGTTTAATTAGTTTTAACATTAGGGGTTGCCATTATAGTATTTAAAACATTTCATACTCCTTCCGTCCCTTTTTATTTAACCAAACACTATTTTTCAAGTCAATGATGATAAACTTTGACCGATTATATATTTCTACACGGTAATATGAAAATGATATGAAAATGTTCTTTGTTAAAAATACTATCATAAAAGTATAAATTTATTAAGTTTCACATAAATATATTAGTTAAAATAATGGATTAAAGTTTATCATCTTTGACTAGAAAAGTCAAAAATACTACTACCTCCGTTCTCTATTAATTGCAACATTGGACTTTTTGCACTATTCACATGTTCTACTTTGACTGTATTTTTATTTATTAATGTATTATAAATTAAATTTTCTAAAAATATTTTTAAACTCCTCTTATCGTAAATTTTCAAAATCTGAATTTATTAATTTCTTTAGTAATAAGGAATGAAAGATTTTAGTGGTTAAACTTGTGCGTTGGCAAACGTGAAATGTGGACCGTTACAATTAAAAAAGAACGGAGGAAGTATTAAAAAAGGGACGGAGGTAATATTTAACTATGAATCGCCATACTATTATAGTATTATGTCTTATCAATGTTTATTAGTCATTGATAAGACAAATAATTAAACATTTATTACTATCTTCCAACATATTTTCACTTCTTTCTAAAGAAAATACTCCCTCCGTCCTGCTATGATTGTCCCATTTTACCATTTCAGTCCGTCTCATTAAGATTGTCCCAAACTTTATTTGATAAAGTATGTGTGGTTCTAAATAAATCCTACTTTATTCTTACTTTATCAATTTAATATCAACCACATCAAGTCACTTTTATTAATAACCGTGCAATCTTCTCTTGTCCCAAACTTAGGGGGACAGAGGAAGTACTTGACTACCCAGTATTTCACACTATTATTCTTGTGAGTGTGTCGTCTATATTTTTTTTTATGGACTTGAATTATATTTTTTTATTATTTTTAATATCTTTATTGTTGATTTATTAAAACCTGTTTTTGCTACATCACTACATCAGTCAATACAAACACAGCGTATGAACAGTTGATTAAAAATTTGTTTTTTGCCGGACATAATAACAACATCAAGTACTCTAATTTTAGTAATTCAAGACATAAGTAAATAATCTAATAGGCTATATGTTTTATTTATATAAATTTATGCCATTAATTTCACTACACCTATTTAAAGTTGTATATACAGCTATTGTTTCTAAAATTAATTACTTCCACCATCTCAAAATGAAAGTTCCATTGTCAATTTAATTTTTTAATAATAATAAAATTAATTCGACCCTTACAATATTGCAATGAAAACAAATAATCAGAATTTGCATATTTAGAAATTATACTTGAAGTTCTCCTAACCCACAAAAAATATATTTCCATATGGTAATACTTGACAGTTGACACAGAGAATTAGAGATGAAAACTGAGCTGATATTTTTATTTTGGGACTTGGAAAAAACATAACACTTCTAACAATTTTGAATAATTAATTTTGACGGTTAAATATGCACAAACCTTACATCTAGAATAGCTATTGACAATTTTTACTTGATAACGTGCAAGGGACATACGCCTTCTAGAATGGTTCTCTTTTTTGTCAATAGTCAATACCATCAACATTAAACTATTATTACCACTACGTATTATATTCGCAGCTCTTCCTCCATTCTTCACAGTATCAGTTCTTACCTCTTTGTTACCCAGGTCTCAGCTCCGTGACAAGCTAAGGAGGCCAGGGAGGTTGACGTTATGGAGGCTTTGTTCCAAGAATTCATTACCTCATCAAATGAATTAGTCTACAGTCACTCCTCTGCCCCACGGGATCCGAGATTTGTAAGTGAACAAAGATTCGCCAATCCTAGTAGCAGTTTTTCAGTACCCAAATCTGCTACAACAGAAGATCAGGAGGAAGAAGACTACCCAAATGCAACTTTAAATTACATAAGCGAGATGCTAATGGAGGAAGAAGACCTGGAGAAGCAGCCTTTCATGTTCTGGGACTCCATGGCTCTCCAAGCTACTGAGAAACATTTATCTGATGTGCTAAACGGAACCGACAGCCCACCCAAAGGATTCTCACAGTGCAGTCATCTCAGTAACTCTTTGTCGAGTCCATTTGATGGCCAACATGATTTATTATCTTTGGCAAACGGAGGAGTGGAGGAGACCGATAGGGACCGATCACCTCCAAAAGGGAAACAGAACCACGAATGTCTGTCATCTGATCATGACTCTGCAGAAACCAACCAAAGGAACAAGCACTTGGCGGCAAGTTATTTGAGAAAATCGGAGCCGCTGGATGATATGTGCTACGATGTCTTGCTTGATCCAGTTGGCAGAAACACTGCTGCCTGTACCTACAAGAAACTAGAAAACACAGAACCCAGGGCGGGAGGAATAACCCCATGTGGCAAGAAGAGACCACAAATGGAAAAGGAATTCATAGATTTCAGCGGCTTACTCACCCAATGTGCAAAGTCATTAGCGATTTATGACACCAAGACGGCTATCGAAGCTCTTAAGGAAATAAGGCTACACTCTTCTCCTTATGGAAACGGAATAGAAAGGACCTCATTCTATCTTGCCAATGCGCTCGAGGCACGCTTAAATGGAACTGGGACATCACTGTACGTATCTAAACATTTCAACAATATCCCAGCTGCAGATATCTTGGAAGCTTTTCAGATGTATATCAAAGCAAGCCCCTTCGACGTAGTATCAATTATGATGTTAAACAAATGCATAATGAAGCTTGCAGCAAGAGCAACAAGGCTGCACATCATTGATTTTGGAATTATGTACGGTTTTCAATGGCCAAGTTTCATCCAAGGTCTCTCGATGAGGCCCGGTGGGCCTCCAGTGCTTCGCATTACTGCGATAGACTTTCTGCAGCCTGGTTTTCATCCGGAAGAGCTGGCCAATGCCACGGGCCTGCGACTGCAAAACTACTGCAAAGGATACAACGTCCCGTTTGAGTTCAAATCTGTAGCAAGGAAATGGGAGAGTATAACACTGGAAGACCTTGATATTGATAGGGATGATGACATCCTGGTTGTCAACTGTTTGAAAATGCTAGGAACGGTGCCAGATGAGATAATGGTGCCACATGATAGCCCACGGGACATTGTGCTCAATCTGATCAAGAACATTAATCCAGATATGTTCACCCACGGGATTATGAATGGGGCCTACAACAGCGCGTTCTTTGCCTCACGATTCCGTGAGGTACTGTTTCATTACTCCTCACTGTTTGACATGTTTGATGTGACTGTGCCAAGTGAAGATAAGGACAGGTGGCTGTTTGAGGAAATGGTGTTTGGAAGAAATATGCTGAATGTGATCGCCTGTGAAGGAGAGGAGAGAGTCGATAGGCCAGAGACATACAAGAACTGGCAAGCTCGAAGCCTTAGGGCTGGACTCCAGCAACTACCACTAGATCAAGAGATTGTCAATTGTGTGAGGGAGAAAGTGAAATCTGATTACAATAAGAATTTTTACACGGAAGAAGATGGGAACTGGTTGTTGCAAGGATGGAAAGGAAGGGTACTGCAAGCTATCTCCTTTTGGAAGCCTAATAACAACTAGTGGAATAGTTTGTCTTAATCTGGAATAGCAATGTCTATTATTCTTAGTTTCTTACTATTATCTTTATGATTCATTCAAGTCAATTTTATCATTATTAACATTCCTATATAATTAATTATCATAAGATGGTCGTATAAGGTAGGAATTGCTAACATTTGGAACATCCAAAAGCCATGGAACTCAAATTACACTATATGCAAGTTGATAACTTTGTCTTCTACAAGCCCAGAAAACGGAAAAGATTCTTAAGCCTAACATAATTCAGACATATATATTACGATTGACACAGCTTTAAAATGCATAATAATCAAGCAAAGATAGTTTTGTTTTCTGAAACTGCAGAAAGTTCAGAGCAGAGTTATAGAAGCTTAGATGAAGAGAATTAGTCCCAATTTAGTCATCACTATAAGAAAAAAAGATGAGGTGAAGATAAGAAAGAAAATCAAAGCCTCTAGTACATACTCAGTTTACGGAAACACTAATAATAGTAGATCAGAAGTAACCATGGTACCAAATAAATCATAATCGGTCAAGAAATCATATTATGAATATGATTCTTGATGTAAGGTATGACCCCATAACTGATGATGGTTAGAAGAAGTTGCATGCAGAGCATCAAGCTTCAAAAAAAGAAAAAGACAAATGAAGTGAAGGAAAAATAGCAAAAAGAGGACAGTCAACACGACACCACATGTTTTAGAGTTATAGCACTACCAACACACTAGCAGTCTAGCACTGATAATTGGTTAATAAAGAAGCATGTCAAGGGAAAACTTCCCAAGAACAAATAGAATTAGCCTTTTTTATTTTGATGCTTTGGTGGCCTAAGAACACTCAAATCCAAGTTTTCACACTTTCGTTGCTTCTCGTACTTGTTGTTGCCACTGGAAAATGGCCCCTCATAAACATGCACATTTTTATGTGTTTTGTTCGGAAAATGGACATCAGAAACAGTGGCTTCTTGTTTCCTCTTGTAATCTCCTGTATGTGCTTGTGTTGTTAAAATTTGATGAATTCTCAGGAGCATCTCGACTTAAACCCATTTCTCTGGAGCAATCAAGAATATGTAATCTTATAACAAAATTAAATTTTTATTAGAAAGTTAAAGTAATCTCATATTATGTAAATGAAGCTCAGAAGGAAATCCAGGTACTACTTGGCCACCTGGCCAAATAAAAGCCATACACCTCAACACTCAAGAATAGATCAAGCTTGATCTTTGAAGTTTTTAAATGATTGCCAAATTGATGTAATGACACCATACCCCATATTTAGGCTTCATACTAAATAAAATATTTGCATTATGGTTAGGGAAATCACTGTGTAATTATCAAGCAATAATGATGAAACCATTATTTTTTGAAATAATTACAAATTTAGGACTAAAATAAAGGCTGTTTATAAAAATAATTAATTCCACTTTTGGTCCTATGAGTTTGATGTCAATTCCACATTTAGTCCACGCCTTTCACTTTGTCCACTTTTGGTACTTGACTAATGTTTTTTTACCATTGATGATCCTTTTCCGGTAATTTTAACCACCGAAAACATTGACGGAAGGACCATATATGGGCGAAAACACAATAGTCAGGTACCAAAAGTGATCAAAATCAAAGACGTGGAACAATTGTGGAATTGGTGCGATACTTGTAGGACAAAATGTGGAATTCTTATAAAAAATGTGACTCCTTATAAATGTAGTGATAGTCATAATAACTTTTGTTCAATTTTTACACTTAAATAACCATGACACAATTCTAGTCATACTCCCTCCGTCCCAAAAAGAAGTTCCCGGTTTGACCTGCACACATATTTATGTAAAATAGAGTTTTGTTTTGACTTTCCAAATATACCCTTGTTTTATGTCAATTCAAGCAAAAAGTGGATAAAAAGTCGGGGTAGTTGTGGCTTTTTGGTTAAAAGTTGTTTCCTTTTATAAAATGGGAACTTTTTTGGAACATCCATAAAAGGAAAGTGCGAACTTCATTTTGGGACGGAGGTAGTAGTAATTTTAGTTATATTTTTCAAAATAAGTATTATTTCAGTAATATTTTTGAAAAAAAAAACTCTTATTTTTTAGTTTTATTTTATATACGAAAAATCATTGTTTAATAATCAAGTAATAATGATGAAAACATTATGTATACAGTTAACCTAAAGATTGACTTGCTTATTAGAAAGTATTTCACTTGTTCCAGAAGTTGTTTCGGAGGCTTGCATGTAAGCAGACAGAAAGCCAGAAGAGTGAACTTAGAGAAACTTGCCAAAATATTTCAAGTCATTCAAACCTCAAACTCACATCAATAACAGGGTTAAAATTTTGGAATGACATCCGGCCCTTTCTTGCCCCAGGATGAGGATCACCTTCCATAATAACCACACTGGAATAGGAAAGACATGAGAGTTTCATATGAACAAAAAAAAATGGAATTGAAACAATCGGAACCAAGAGAAAAAGCCTGGGAACTGTATTACTTAAGGGATATAATTTTTATATTGATATGCCCATCAAGATCTAAATACCATGTACTGCTTCCAAAAGAATAGCGCGACTTCCTCATTGTGGGATAGAGTGCACAGGACAGACTCCATGAAATGTTTTTAATTCTTTATAGCATTGCATATTGCAGTACACATAAACATTAAACAAATTGTCCAATCTACTAGTTCCCATGTTATACAACACATTCAAATAAGAACTAAGAAGCCAAGCTAAAAAATACTCATTAATTAGAGCCCCAATAATAGAATTTCTGTCTAAAGCAATCCCTCAATCTGCCAACAATCCCAATAACCAGTTGAAACCCCCAATCCACTACTCCTAAACTGAGAAATAGAATACTTAAATGGTGAAAACTGAAAAAGAGTTTGATGCCAATAGAATCTCGAAGGGGAAGACTAGATAGACACAATCAAACACTATGATACTTTGACACTATATTGTTTACGCTTCAAAGTAAGATCAAATATCGATCTATGTATATGCAGAAGAAAGAATTGCCATCTTTTGGGCGCAATTGAAGAAGTAATGTTACCATCAGGCATCCCAAGCGGAAGACTAGATAGATAGGACAATGCTATGATACTTTTAGCCAGTGTGGTGATGCTGAAATAGATAATTCGGCTGAATTTGATGAAATTCTGACTGAATTGGCTACATTTGCTGAATCATAAAAAAATTATATTTAAACTATATTTTATTAATTAAATAAGAAATTATTATATGAAGAATAGTCTTATGCAATCAATTCAGTCAGAAAAGTAACTTCTTTCTTACTTATTTTGATTATTAAATAATTCAGTACACAAAATCAAATGTTTAATGTTTGTAAATAAAAAGTTGGTGCTGTTAAGATGAAAATAGAGGCCACCAGACGGACTATTTGACATTATCATTATGAAATTTTATAGATCCAGGACCTGAAAGATAAAGTGTATAGGGCCGAATGATTGAAAAATATCAATTTAAAACCTAAAATATCATGAATTTTAATATTTCTTAATTTAAATAAAAAAATTATGATAAAGCGACTTTTACTAATATAGAGAAAGCATGCAAGACAATATCCACACAGCTATTACAGATTCAATCGTAAGCCCTGCGAATAGACATAGAGTCAACCACTCATACAAAGTAACCTGACTCGCTAGCCACAAAACGGGCAAGATTAAGCATAAAATGACCGAAAATGAAGCATTGTCTATAAAAAGATCTTCAAAAATCAAAATACTCCAATCATATTTGGTCGAACTGAAATAAAAACAAGTATTACTAAAGGGAAAATGATACAAAAAAAAAGTTTCCCAAATTGTTTCCTAAATGGAGGTGGTTTCGGAGGAGGACGAGCTGCTGCAGTATGGGTGAAGCCTAACTCCCTTTTCCAAATTTCTTTTTCAGTGAATAGAATTTTGACCCCTGGAAAATTCATCTCAAACCCTATTCTCCATGCACCATCGGCCGCATCTTCATCCTCCATAGTCAACGTGTAGTACGGCTCCTCAAGTTTCTCCATTGAAATCACCAAAGTCTGCCTACGAACTCACTGCCCTACTTCAGCGTCTTCGTCTGATAAAACTAATAGTCGAACAAACTGTCGGTTGCAGGCGTTAAACCACACCGGAAAAAACAAACCCTAGAAAACCCTAGGGTTTTCTTATGAATGTCTTGCACCTACATCAACGATGAGGACAAGAAATCTAGAAGAAACAACCCAGAGAAGAAGACAACAATTGTGGCTGGTTCGACTTTGAGGCGGCTATGAAGAGAACCCCTACTGCTGCACTCCTTGTTTATTTTAAAAAAATTAATATTATTTAATCTTACTAAACTAGTAAAATTTTGTGAAGAAAAAACAACAAAAATTATGTATGGAATTAATGAAAAATTAAATAAATCAAAATCAACGATATTTTAGGTCTTTGATTGATAGTTTTCCATCATTTAGATCCTATACAAACACACTTTATCTTTCAGTCCTGGATGGATAAAGATAAAATTCCATTATACCTCAAAATAAGATCAAATATCTATCTATGTATATATGCAGAAAAAAGAATTACCATCTTTTGCGCGCACTTAAAGAAGGTATAGCAGGCATGTCATCTTCAGCTTCCTTGGCTTTTTCCTCTCCGTTGTCTGATACTCTTTGCATAAACTGCAATAAAGGAGACAACTTTTTGGATTTAGCAAGCAACTTATTAAAAACTATCTTGGAGGCAAATAGTTAAGCTCACAAATCACAACTTATGAAGACTATACAACAACTACCAGGCCTTAATACCAAATCGATGGAGTTAGCTATACTAACCAATACAAATTCCACCGAGTGCATCTTCTGAAATCCTATTTCCATTCCTTTTGTTTTTGTACTAAGCTCAAATTCCAATAAAAAGACTATCTTGGAGTACGTTGTCTACCATAAGAATCTGTAAAAAAGGACTCCAAATTATGAGTAATTACTGGATTGAATTAAGTAAACCACTCGAAATCATTCAACTATACCATTATATGAATAACCTCCCAGATATGAATTCTTCTCGGCCAAAATTAAATTTACCTTCAAGTTTTTTAAAGTACTGGATAGCTCGCGCTTGGCCATTCTGATCTCCCGGCACAAATGAACTTTCCCGGACTCCTTTCTTGGTTAGGACTAAAAACAGTCCAAGAGACATGACCATTAGCCATAGGATGGTCTGGTCTGGTTTAATGTGTTTAAGTCTGGTCTGATTTGATCTGATCTGCTATGCTCTAATCTGATCTGGTTTGGGACTAAAAATCATCCAAAAAAATCACCCTTGGCCATTTCAAGAAACTATGTCATTTCTATTTAATGTAATGATCGATATATGGTTAAATTAATTCAACCTTCCTCTAATCTGCATAATTTTAACCGCACAATCTTGACTTTATTATTTCATGTGAAAGTCAATTTTGGCCAAGCTTTGTGAAAGGGATGGTGTAATAATAGATAGATAACGAGTATGATATAATTAATTAATTAAGTGAGTAATCTTTTTTATATTATTAGTAATCGATGACATGAACAATTATATTTAGTATTTTTTGTAAAACCTTTGTAACCGGATTTATCACGCTTGAATATAATGTAATATTCTATACTTTTTTAACAAAAATCTGAACGTTTCGTCATTCTATCTTTATTTTTGTATCTAAATGAATTCTTATTTTTTTATGTTTCTAGATTTCCAATTGTTATATTTATATATAATGCATTTTTAATGTGTTATTTATAGGTTGTAACTATTAATTACATATTTACATAATCTTTAATCTATTATTATAATTATAGAGTTTTAAATGCTTCAATAAAAGGCATTTGCAGACTTGTAGAAGATATTAAAATCATCCATGGCGCAAAAAGAAAGAATGCTCCATGGAATATTTATTGTATAAATTGAAGCAAATTTGTTATCGTTTGGTTTGAACGATGCTCGTGTCTTGCCAGATTCTTGGAAAAATAACATAGCATATGGTCTTGAATCGCCAAGAACTGTGGCATGGGTAATAAACTGATAATGAATTTTATCATTTAACCTTGTGGCCTAGGTAAACCAGCATGAGCAAATTAACACAATATTTTCTTATACGGAGTATTAAATATGTATCTGCATTTTAATTACTTTTTACGGTGTGTTGTTGTGGTAATTGCACATTTACGATGCAATCATTTTATTTTTCTAGTTTGTTGTAATTTAGTAAATTTAGAATCATCATGAGCAAGAATCAATCAAGAATCAACAAAGGATCATGGAAAGGATCTTAAGGAACAAAGGAAAGTGCAAGGGAACAAGAAATCATGCAAGAAATGTGATTTGGTGACTTACCCGGTCGGGTATAGCCTTTACCCGGTCGGGTATGAAGTGACCCGGACAAAAAGGCGTGCCGGAAACACAAAATCGTGGTCAAAATATTTGATTTTGACAAATACCAGGTCGGGTATCTAAAAAACTCGGCCGGGTATCCGGCCATAGGTGTTGAAAACACCTATAAATAGCCCCATTTTCCTTCACTTTTAATTCTTCCTTCTTCCATACTCTTAAACTCAGTTTAGAATAGTATTTCTTTTATATTTTTATAGCATGGGTGTTTAGTCTTTGATGTGAGTTTTCTCGCACTTAAAATAGATCGTAATATAGTGGTGTAAGTACGAGTATCGTCTCCACAGGGACGGACAAAAGGGAATCAAGAATTAATTAAATTCAGCGATTAAAAGAAATAAATAAAATAAATGCGTCGTGCGAGATATGATTGGTATGAAAAATTAAAATGCAACTAAACGATTAAAATAAATGGGTTCTTTCTAATTAATGACGAAGGGAACATGGATTGATTCCGAGGTAACCAGATTTCTGGCAGATGAGGCCTAATTACATGAAATTAATTCAATTGAGCCTAGCTAATCATTACTAAGTTCTTACCGCTCTCGCGGCGTAGAGTACAATAATTTAGGGGACCAGGCTGATCTCTCATGTGACAGGATCCTAAATTATTGCCAAGACGAGCAAGCTTACGGTCCCTTAATCGCTACTAATCTCTTAGCGAACGATTAAGTGTGTGTGAATGTGTCCTAGAATAAACTAGATCTCTCTTAATTTATTCTACAAGCAATTGTAATTCTAGCGCGCGTTCTAGGTTACAAAAGATATCAATTAAATTATTCAAACACAAATTAAACGGCATTCATGCAATTAATACATCAAGAAACTAGCCATACATCATGATCAACCCCTTCATCAATCTCAATCCCTAATTAAACTACTCACAATTCATAATTGAAGAATCAATAGAATTGGGAAGAATAGAATTAATTGTCATTAATTAAAAAGGTGGAACTTACAAAGAATACCAAAAGATTGATGAACAAGACTGAAAAGTCCTCTTAAATTCGTGCTAGGCACCCTCTCTAAGCTCCCCCCTCGAAAACGGGGTTTACAGGCTGTTTAAATAGGAAAAACGGAACAAATTCGGGCGAAATTAGGATTCTAGGGACAACGCACGGGGCCAACGCACGGCGTGCGTCCCTCAGTGCGTCCGAAGCAATGAAACGCGAAATTTGGCAACGAACGGCGTGCGTCCCCCACGCACGGCCGTGCGTTTCTGGCAGTAGGTTCTTTGCTTTCTCGCCTCAGACGCACGGTCGTGCGTTCCCCTACGCACGGCGTGTGCAAAAATTCCGAATTAGACAAAACTTCCTTCATGAAAGTTGTAGATAATGAAGTCCTCTAACCACCACAACTTGCCGAATTGGATTTGAATCATCCAATCAAGAGATATGAATAAAATGGTGGAAGATCTCATTCTGAAATCGCAGCAGGGATCATCTGACTTCATTGTCTGTTTTCATCTTCTTCCTCTTAGATTCTCGGAATAATGTCTTCATATGATTTGTAGCTATTGAAGTTGGCTTTAATGTGGACTTTGAATCGTGTTCTTTGAATGCTTCTACAAAGAGATATGCTTGAACGATTGACAGAAGGTCATCCTGAATGCCGTTTTCAAGCTTCATTCATCTTCCTTTGACCCCGTAGCCAATCCTAGAGCTCTTTTTCCTTCAAATCTTCATCGTGAATCTTCCGGTGACCTCCAAATCTATCAAATCATTCTCAAATGCTTCTCAAATCATCCCGATTGTTCCTCAAGTGCCGGTGCCGGGCTCAAATTCCCTGATTTTGACTACAAACAACACAAAACTCGAACCAACGCCCGGTAATGAGCTAAAATTGAGACTTGTAACACCTTAAAACTAGGAAAATCATCAATATCCGATCTCAACACGCATCAAATACGTGTCAAAATACGGACTTATCAGTCTCCAAATGAGGAGCTAAACTTCCATTTCTTGGTGTTGCTCTTGAAGCTTGTTGATTATTAAAGTTGTGAGTTATTTTCTTAACTTCTTCCCTTGAATATTAATTCTTCTTTTAATCTATCTATATATTAATGTTGGAGAGTGTTGCTAAGATGACAATTAGTTAGCATCTCGACATTAGTTATAGTAGTATTTATTTTCTTTCTCTATATATTAATGTTGGGGAGTGTTGCTAAGATGACAATTAGTTAACATCTTGACATTAGTTATAGTAGGATTTATCATCTTTAATATTCTTCCTTGAATATTAATTAATTCCTATTCATATTTCATATTACGATTTTGACATTACTTAAAGGATCAACTAGTTTTGTTTCATTTATTAATTATTACTAGAATCGATCGACGAATACGCTTGTTAATCGTTGATGGTTTCACAAGTAAGTAACTTCGGTTTATTAATGCACGGTCGTGGTTAATAAACTTAAGAGGGATTAATTTTGTTGGTTAAACCAAAACCGTTGTGTTGAGGTTATCAATCTCAATTGATTTCATCAAGGAGTTAAGAGATTAAATGCTACTATCAAGTCGGTATATGGTGGTGTTCTATACTTGACTAATAGTAAGGGTTATTAATGAACGGTCGTTGTTAATAACTACCCTCGATGAATTGGATATACTCCTCGATTGAGTATTTGAGAGGGGATAAGTTATAGATATAACAATGATCGACTAAAATATATCAACAAGTGGAAAGTAGCAATGCCAAGTCCTTTTTATGTTTGAATTAAATCACATATAAGTTGTTCATCTTTGTGTTTAATTAAATTCAATCATTCAATCCTAAACCCCCCTTTTATTTACTAGTTTTATAAAAAGAGAATTATTCATTTATCTGTGGATACGAACTCTACTACGTTATATTACGTATAAGTGTTAGTATTGAATTTATTTTGACGCACCGTGACAAAGTGTCCGTCAAGGATAAAATTGATTTAGTCATTTAGGTAGTGCAACATCTACAACTCATTCACACCATGCAACTGGAACCAGTACAACTTCAGGTAGTTCATCTAAAGGTAGTTCTACAGAATAAATTGGGTACAAATCATATTCAAAGAATCTCATCAATTGCACTATCTTTCACACATGTAATCGAAGTAATTAGGCTTGGAGCATTTTTAGATATTGAGTTTACAATGAGTATTTCTTAGCTATTCAGTTTATATATTATAAGTTTCTTTATTCGTGCACCCTGAGGGTATACAAAGTGAAACTCTCATATCACAAGGTTCTTCTATATATATTGTAGCCGGCAATATCTGAACATCCTGACGTGAATACAAGATTTGTGATCCTTAATGAACACGCTATATGGAAGAAAAATGCCTAACGACCAAGCGGGCTGCATGCAATTGAGAGAAATTAAATTCATTTGAAATGAGAATGAAAGAACGAAACCGACAGAACTACCATTCAAGGCCCCGATAATGCAATTTAGAGAAAGATCTTCTATTCTTGCACAACATTTAGAAGTGAATTGGCGGGAGGAATAACCCCCAAACGTTTGAGAACTTCGAATCTCCCGGTATGTATTGTTCATGTTAAATACTCCGATTCAACGACACGTTTAAAATTAAGTGATAGAGGAGCAAATTTTTCTTGAAACTTTGTCAACTTTTTTTGTAATCCCTCTGTCGGTCAAATTTGATAAAGTTTTAAGGGACGGATGAAGTACATAGAAATTATATCATTATATACTATTGTAATTATAAATTTATAATTAGACAAAATCCGACAAATGAGACCATTCATAA